CCCCAAAACCCCAAAACCCCAAAACCCCTGCCCTAATTTTAGCGATTGATAAATAAGTATTAGTCTTAAATAATCATGGAAAAATCAGAAAATTCAAATAGTATCAACATGGATACAGGCTTAGACCTGGAATTTGGGACACCTCTCAAAACCGGTAGGCTATTCATGAAGCTCCACACAATGGGAGACGAAGAGGAAATACAAGAGATTCAACTATCATCAGTATTTTCTGAGTATGAAGAGTCTGAGGAAGACCAAACAGAATCAAATTTGGAAGCTCCAGATTTAGGAATCTGCTCAGATGCTGGCAAGCATAGGAAGAAATCCTTCCCAAAATTGCTTAAATCTGCTCCTGCAAGGAAGGGTTCTTCTGGTAATTTGATTCCTCCAGCACCATTAAAACCAATATTCAGCAGAAGGTATCTTAGGGGTCACAGAGTTCAGACCACTGAAACAGAACAAAGTGAAGATGATCTAAGATCGATTAGATCAAAATAAGCAAGTACAGATAGAGCAATTATCAACTTTTGGGAGCTTTATTCTTCAGTTTTCCTGGATGCTGATCTACTCCATTGCCTTAGCTGCTACAGGTCCTTTACTAATTAATCTTCCTGGTGACAATATGTTTGTTTTAATGACTTGGAAGCTACAAATCACCCTAATCGTGTTCTTGCCATTAGCATACATAGAGCTAAAGCACAAAAACTTAGTGGACTTGAAATACCAGAGCAAGTATGTTAAAAAGTTTTTCTACATACTTCTAGCAAGCCTGATGTACCTCATCTGGTTTATGGGGCTTCTGGAAGCATGCAGAAACTCGATCCTACTTCATGCACTACTTATGAACAATTTAGGGATCCTAGTTATGAGGAAACACTCTGGAATGCTAATAAATGTTGGTACTTTCATAGGAATATCAGGTTTTATCCTTCTCTTTTACTCCAGTGTTTCAGGTAGTTGCATGATGCAGAAGGACGGTGAAATTTGTAGCTGGAAAGCCGATCTTTTCAATGCATTATCTTCTTTTGCAGGTTCATTTTATTTCAGAATCATCGAGAAGCTTGAAACGACAATACCAAAGATCACCTTGAGAACAATTGTTTCATTCTTTTCACTCATAATAGCAATGTGCTACTGATTTGGTGAGATGATGCTCGGCTACCACAATAGCTTCTCACTGAATGGAGCTACAGGACTTTTAGGATGGTTGTTCTCAGTACCATCACTAACAATGGTGATATTTATAATCTCAATAGCCGGGTGGATCTTTGGCAATTTTCATCACAGGCACGTCACAAATATTTTATTCATGGAGCCGCTCCTAGGTCAATATTTCGGAACGTATATAATCAAGATCAATGAATTCCCTCCACTTCTGAGCATCTTTGGAGGCCTTTCCACTCTCATAGGGATGTACATGGTCCGTGAATCCTACGAGAGGGAGCATCCAACTCCCCAAATAAGTCAGTCCTATCTCCTGCAGATGGAGCAAAGCGAAAAGGAGGTTAAGGAACTCACCCAAATGATGAGACAACCTAGTCTTTAACTTATTATCTGAATATATTATAAACCTTTTCAAAAACACCTGTTGGCTTAGGGGTTTTGGGGTTTTGGGGTTTTGGGGTTTTGGGG